TGGGAGGTTTGGGGCTGTTGTGGGGGGGGATTGGGAGGTCCTGGGCTGGTTTTGGGGATCCTGGGGGGGTTGTTTCCCCCCCACATTGGGGTTGAGGTTCCCCCCCTCCTCACCTTCTCCCCTTTGGCTCCGGCGTCTCCCCTAAGCCCAGGAATTCCGGGGGGTCCCTGCAGGATCAGCCATGGAATTTTTTGGGGGGATAAATGTGGGGACCCCCTTTTTTGTGGGGGGGAGGGATAAAGGGGGCACTCCCCATCCTCCTCATTTTTTGGGGGAGGGTCTCTCTCACTCACCACCGGTCCGGGGGGTCCTGCCTGGCCCCTCATTCCCGGTTTTCCTTGTGCTCCCTGGGAGAAGAAGGAAAGGTGGGATTTGGGGGGGTACCTGATCCATGGATCTGGGGGGGATTTGGGGGTCTTAGTCCCAATATTTAGGGGTCCTGATCCCAGGACTTGGGGGTTCTGACCCCATGATTTTGGAGGTCTCAATCCTGGGATTTTGGGAGGTTAATCCCCGTATTTGGAGGGTGTCAATCCCAGGATTTTGGGCTCTAATTCCCAGGATTTGGGGGAGTGTTTCCCTCACCACTGCTCCTGGCAACCCCCTCAGTCCGTCGGGTCCTGTTTTCCCGGTGGCTCCCGCGGGTCCCACAGGCCCCGTTTTCCCGGGAGCGCCTCCAGCTCCGGCTTCTCCCTGTGGGAACAGCCATGATCCTGGGCCTGAGGGTGATCCAGTGGATCCCCCCTGGGATCCCCAGGATCACCCACCTTGGCCCCCTTCTCGCCCTGACGCCCCTCGGGGCCGCGCGATCCGGCGGGACCCTGCGGAGAAACAGGGGGGGTCAGGAGGGATCTGCGATCCCAAGGGAGGGTTCTGTGATCCCAGAGGGATCCTGGGAAGGAGTCTGGGATCCCAGAGGAGGGATCTGGGATCTGACGGGGATCTTGGATCCCAGGGGAGGAATCAGGGGGAGGGGGAGAATCTGGAATGGGGGGAGGGATCTGGGATCCAGGGGGAATGATCTGGGATCGCAGGGTTTGGGATCTGGGCTGGGCTGAAGGGGGAGGGCATCTGGAATCTTTGGGATCTCACCCTCTTGCCGAGGGGTCCAGGGGGTCCGTTCTCGCCCGTGGGACCCGGAGAGCCCTGAGGGGGGAGGGGAGGGAGGAAGCAAATCCTGAATTTCCCAAGGACCCAAATCCCAACATTCCCAAGGAATCAAATCCCGACATTCCCAAGTAGCGAGATTCCAAAATTCCCAAGGAATCATATCCCAAAAGTCCCGAGTGGCGAGATCCCAACATTCCCAATCCCAGGCATCCCAAAATTCCTGAATACTTGGGATCCCCAAATTCCCAAGGACTGGGATCCCAAAATTCCCGCGCAGCAGAATTCCAACATCTCCAACGAGCCACATCTCAAATTTCCAGAGGCTTCGCATCCCAACGTAGTGGGATCGTTCCTGGCATTCCCAGCATTCCTGGCATTCCCAGAATTCCTGGAATTCCCACCACTCACCGGCTCTCCGGGCTCTCCATCCTCCCCTCTCTCCCCCTTGGCTCCATCCTGGCCCTGCGGGAACACAAATCCCGGGATTCACCCCCCAAATCCCAGATTTTTTCTGGTGGAAATCCTGGATTTCTGAGGGGAAATCCTGGAATTCCAGGGGGAAATCCGGGACTTTCGGGCTCCACTCACCCTGGGGCCCATCTCTCCGGGTGCTCCAGGATCACCGGGGAATCCCACAGGACCCTAAAACAAGGGAAATCCCGGATTTTGGGAGGGCTTAGAGGGGGAAACCCCCTCCCCCCCCCCTGAAATCCCTCAGGATCCCCCAGAATTCCTGGGATTGGGCCACTCACGGGGTTTCCTTTGGGACCGTCGTCTCCAGGGGGGCCTTTCCCTCCTGGGGGTCCGGCGGCTCCGGAGGCTCCGGATTCTCCCTTTTCCCCCCTTTCCCCGCGGGGACCCTGGGGGGGAAGGGGGAAAAAAAGTGTGATTAGGACACGGAATTGCGGGATTCGGCCCCAAACTTTTGGCCCCAAATTTTTGGGATTTGGGCACGAAATCTGGGATTCTGCCCCGGTATTGCGGGATCAGCCCCAGAATTTAGGGGATTCGGCCGCTCCAGGGGTGGATTTTGGGGTCTCACCTTGACTCCTGGCTCTCCCTGGATTCCTGGAGTTCCGGGTTCCCCAGGAGCGCCCTGGAAGAGGAAGGGGGAGGGGGAAGGAGAGGGGGGAGACCCCCCCCCAATTCCAGTGGGATCCCCCAAATCCATGGAGAGAACCCCCCTCCCCCACCACCTTGTCCCCCTAAAATCCAGCCCCAAATTCCAGCTGGGACATCCCAAATCCAGGCTGGAACCCCCCAAATCCCACTTCAATCCCCCAAACCCCTGCAGGATCCCCCAAACCCCACCCCCCTGTATCCCCTAAATCCCACCTGGAACCTCCCAAATCCATAGGGGATCCCCAAAATTTCATCAAGGACCCCCCCAAACTCCATCAAGGACCCCCCAAATCACACCCAAACCCCATCTGGGACCCCCCAAAACCTGTCTCCCCCCAAAATCCTGGGATTTACCTTCTCCCCGGGGGGTCCTACATTCCCGATGCCTCCGGGGGGTCCTTGAGGTCCCTGGGGGGTTTTTTTTGGAGGGAGAGGGACACAATGAGATTCCACTCCCCCAGATTTTTTTTTGGGGGTGACCCCAAATCACCCCAAATTTTTGGAATGAAAGGTGAGGGTCAACCCCAAATTTTGGGAATGAGGGTGGAGGTCACTCACAGATGCTCCGGAGGCTCCGGCGGGACCTCGAGGGCCGGGGGGTCCTGG